GGAGTCTCCTTCTCTGGAGACATTCAAAATCCACCTGGATGCGTTCCTGTGTGACCTGCTCCAGGTGGTCCTGCTCTGGCAGGGGGGGTTGGACTAGGTGATCTTTCGAGGTCCCTTCCAACGCCTGACATTCTGTGATCCTGTGCTAATGAGAGGACACGTGGCAGGGCAGTTGGCCTTGAGTAAACGGGGTTCCCATGCATTTTGTTTCAGGCTCGGCTGGGCAGCCAGGGCGATGCCCAGGCCATGCAGGCCGTCCGCACCGCGCGTGGGAACAGCTTCTGTGTGGACTGCGATGCACCAAGTAAGAAATGCTGTGCTGTGAGGTGGGGATGCTCACCCACGGTGGGGAGGGGGACTCCACCCCAGTCACCTCCTCTCTTACCCCAGGGACACCCACTCTGTGGGGCTGTCTCATCCTTTCCCGCAGTGGACCCGTTCTTCAGGGACGGGGGACTGACCCCACCTGCCATGCTGGTCCATGACCCCTTACTGACCAGCCTGGAGTCCTTGCCTTTCTGTGCTGATGGAGTACTGGGCTTGGATGGGATCTGGTGGGCGGGTGCCTGCAAATAGGGGTCCCCTGGATCATAGGAGACAAGCTGGTGAGTCCATGCTGGTGTTAACTCTCCCCCACTGATCTTGCTGCCCTCAGATCCAGACTGGGCCAGTCTAAACCTGGGCTCCCTCATGTGCATTGAGTGTTCCGGGATCCACCGCAACCTGGGCACCCACCTGTCCCGTGTGCGCTCCTTGGACCTGGATGACTGGCCTAGCGAGCTTCTCATGGTCATGACAGCCATCGGCAACGCCCTGGCCAACGCTGTCTGGGAAGGAGCAGTGGAAGGCTACCCCAAGCCCACCCCCGAGAGCAGTCGGTAAGGGAGATGATGGGGAACTGCAGAGGTGCTTCTCAGACAACCACACCAGGAGGCTTCAGGGCATCACAGGAGACTGGGAGCAGCCATCCAGTCGAACAGAGAGGTGGGCGGGAGTCCTGGAGGTGCACCGGTGTTCGGGGTTCTCGCTGCTCTCTGGGACTGGAGGCCCTCCCGCACCATCCTGGCGGGCCAGCCGGGCTTCATGGCTGGCTGAGGCCATGCGGTGACTGCTGGAGCCTGGCTGGCTGCACAGCAGAAGGGGTTAACAGAGATGGCTTGGCAGCGTTGTGCGGGTCTCAAGGGTGCGTCCCTTTCAGGCCCTTGTCTGTCCCTATCGGAGCGACTCTCCTGTCACTCATTCCAACAAGAGCCCATTCTGCGGCTTATCAACGGATAAGAGCGGGTCAGGGGGCGGCGGGAGTGAGCATGCTCTGCGCAGGGC